TTTGCCTAACTCAGGGTAAGATTATAGGGTATCAAATTGGGAAATGAAACTAAGGAGGTGGAGATAAGGCAAGCAAAATAATCGCTACTTGTGCGAACGGCACTCAGGGTTTGGTAGGAGAGCTGGGGTCGTGGATAAGTAAAAGATAAAGGAGTTGGATTGGGGCAACTACAAAAAATTAAATAAAGGGTTCATTAATCTCTTGGAACAAACAAAATAAAAATAAACAGGAAAAACCTCTAGTAATTTATATAGAGCGCCACTTTGAGGTGCCTAATTATAACTAGTACAACAACTACTGGTAAATAAAGAAATAATTATTAAAAAATCAAAACATAAAAAACAAATATTTTTCAAATAAAACTTAAAAAAGAGTTAGCTCAAAAAAATAAACAAAATGTTAAAAAAAAAACTTTAACATTTATTTTTGTGTCACCACAAACAGTTACAACCTAGAGAAATACAAGAATACAAAAAACTTACGTGTGTCATCCGCTTACAAACTTCAGGAGTTGAAAAAACTACATAAAACTTACAAATGTTACCGCATTACTATTTTTAAATGTTACAATTTCTAAACTTTAACGAAAGCAATTATTGTTCTAAAAAAATGTCTGTCCTTACTTTAAAATTAAACAAACAATAAACAGTTACCTGGATTCACATATTTCGACAACAAAAAAAACTTGTTACATCTCTGGATTATTTATCTGGACATCATCAACGACGAGCTTTATCCATTGGGGGCTGGAACTAGCACACTTGAAAAAATGGGAATTCTTAAAAAAAAAGGAACTTAACTTGTTTAACTTTTCAAGAGGAACTAGACTTTTCAAACATCTTAAAATCTTCAAAAAAAAAAACGAAACAGTGGTCACTCTTTCTAAAATGACACAGATAAAAATCCACCACTACTGCTACTTATTTCCACAAAGGGAGCCAAAAACAGAAAACCACAAATTCGATGACTAATTCGGATCCATACTTGAGCCTACAACGATCCAAGTAAGAATTTAGATTCTTACCTGACACTACGACGACCCAAGTACGAATGACGAACTTAAGAATTCGTTCACATAACTTGAAAACAAACAAAACAACGGAAATTAAAACGTAGATATCCTTTTGCGACGTATAAAAATTATAAGACGACTTTGAATAAAACATTAAAAGAAATTGTCGAAGTACACATTTTTAAAATAATGAACAACTCTGAAATGGTTTTATTACTTGGCGAAGCTGAAAAGAACGAAATATTATTTGGGTTTTAAATTAAACAATACGAACGAAAGATACATTAAAAGATTTTTTAAACATTTATGTGGGGATTTCAATATATTACATTTACGAGGGGATTTCATTATATACCAAAAAAAAATCAATGAATTGCAAATGCTACAATATTTAATGGCCTTGATGTTTCACCTTAATAAAAATAATCGCATTTACATTATTTTATAAGTAAAATTCTTTGTTCTTTCTTGTTTATTGTTAAGTTGAGTTCTATATATCATAGACCTCAATGTGTTTGTTGTTTTAAATGTTGAAATGTAGAACTTATTTTCTATATTTTTAAGTTTCTCTAGTAATCCTTTTAAGTATGGTATTGTTAGTTTCCTCGTATTTTTGCTTGTGTATCTTATAGGATCTCGTTTTAAGTTTTTCTATTCAATTCGATCGATTATTGAAAATTCCTTATTTATAAACGATAACGGATAATTATTTTTAATAAAACAGATGTTAGATGTTACAGTAATTTTGGCTCTATTAGGGTAAGTCCGGGAGAGATAAACCATCGGGAGAGATGGACCAGTCCATTATGTCCGAACTGTGACGCTCGAGCTCTATCATCGTTTGTTGTGGGTATGGTTCAGAATCATTGAAGACATGCTGTTAGTTGTGTGGTGTTGTTGTTAATATTTGTCGAGAAAAACGTCATTGTCTGTTTTAGTAAGTACAAAAGTTTTTTAACGTAGTAACATAGTTTTAGTTTTCAGTTTAAGTTTACGTGATATCGACATAGGATTCTTGTAGCGATGTCAATAAACATGTAGGTAGTAACCTAACCTAAAAAGGCCGCCATATGTACGGTAAAAATGCGAATTATGAGGTGGTCCATCTCACCCGGACTTTTGGGAGAAATGGATCAGTATGTTTTGGTAGAGATGGGCCACGTATTTCAATACGGAAGAGATGGACCAGCACTAACGTTTTTAAATGTTACTTTTATTAAAATGACTTATAGTGTAAATACTAACTAAGTAGATGGTATTTTTCTGTTTCATAAAAATGCCAACTAACTACATAAGAAAGGATACCAGTATAGAGGCGTGGACGGAAAATGCATTAATACAAGCGGCTAATGCGGTGGAAAATAAAGAAATGGGTGTCAATGCTGCTGCTAAAGCTTATTAAATTCTCAAGACCACTCTTAAAAGAAAAATTAAAAAACAAAAGTTTGTAGGCCACATAAAATATTAACAAGCTCATGGGTTTACCCCTTGCAGGGATTCAGTGAGAAGCATGGCGTTTGAACTTGCTGAAGAACTAAAACTGCCTCAGAAATTCAGCAAGGAAAATAGAAAAGCTGGTTATGATTGGCTAAACTCTTTTCTTTGAAGAAATCCTACTCTTATCATTAGGAAATCTGAAGGTGTATCTGTATCCTGAGTTAAGAGAATGAACACGAGGTGTGTGGAAGAGTACTTTAAGTTACTGGAAAGTGTTATTTTAAAAAACAATTTGGTTTAAAAGCCTAGGCACATGTTTAACATGGACAAAACCGGGCTACAACTGAACAACAAGCAAGAAAATGTTGCCATTAAAGGGTCCAAAAATGTAACTTTTATTACTTCTGGGGAAAAGGGTGAAATTCTGTTCTACCTTTTACTAGCGCTAAAGGTACATTTCTTCCCCCATACTGCGCAATGAAGGGCAAGAACTTGAAAGTTGAGTTTATGGACGGGATGCCTCCTGGCTCAGTTGTAAAAATGTCACAAAAATCTTCTTATGTCACTAATGAAATTTTTCTGCACTGATTAAAAAGTCATTTCCAACCTACAAAACCAGCAGGAAAATTATTTCTCTTACTTGATGGTTACACTTCACACAGCAGTTCCTTGGAAATCCTAGTGTAAAAAGGAATCATTTTGATGAGCATTCCACCCCATACTTCGCACTGGCTACAACCTTTGAACAGATTCTTTTATAAATCACTTAAGTCCTACTTTTATAGTGCTTGTAATTATTTCATTACAAACAATCCATCCAGAAAAATCAATCGTCTGCAGCTTGGAAAACTTCTCAACTCTGCATGGACCAAAGCTGCAGGTATACAAAATACCGACAAACATAGTCCGACTCGCTAGTGCATCAACCGACGAGGTTGATCCTGTTAGCTCTAATGCAGAACTTATCGGCCAACACGTCAATGCTGTAACTAGTGTGCCAACAAGTGACACTGTTAATTCTTATATCTCCTATACAGCACAATGAACTTAATTTGATCCCCAGTACATCTAGAAGCCTAACACCATCAAAAATGACTCCTTCTAAACTTCTAGAACATGTATTCAAAAGTATTAAATTCATAAATCAAAAAGAAGTTTCTTAAGCCAAAAAAGGAACAATCTGGCAAAGTGACACAGATTAAAAGTGCAGACTTAGAAAGCTATGATTCTGCAAATCTAGTCCAAGATGGCGGTATGCCAGTAAAAGAATGGAATGAAGATGAATGTGTGAGATATGGAGAGGCTTACAATAAAATTCAAAAAAAGAAGACTGGATGAAGTGTGTACAGTGGTCTTGGTAGCTTCATGAAGGTTGCTCTAGATTTAAAGTAAAATGTGACTTTTGGGGTACTAGGGAAATAATGTTACGAAAAGAGAAGTTTTTCCAATAATAGGAAGATTGTGGTCAAGAAAGTAAAAGAATAGACTTGGTTGTTTTTTAATTTGGTTATTGTAACATTAATTATTAGGTAAAATATACTATTTTTTACTTTATATTTGGTTTGTAGTCATTGATCCTATTTTTTACCACTGGTCCATCTCTCCCAAGCTACTGGTCCATCTCATTCAGACACGTCCGGTGAGATGAACCATGCAAAGTTTTGGAAAAAATGAAATATTGTATCCTTTATAAATAATATTCAATTAGAAAGTAAACTCTTGAGGGTATAAAACTAAATTCTTTACCAAACGCTTAAATAATAATGTTAATAAGTTGACAAATATAATTTTAGTGAGCGTCCAAAGAAATGTGATACAACTCTCCCGGACTTACCCTATGATTGATGATTCCCTTTTTTAATTAAAAAGGAAATCATTAAATCCTTATACGATATAGCCCAATCTATCTTATTACAGTTCCCAAATATATAATTTTGTATATAACTTTTTCAACTTGGACTCCATTTAGTTGAAGCTCTGTATAAAATCGTCTAAAATGACGTTGTGTATATATTTTATTTTAACGTTTAACAAAATATGACTTAAAATAAAAATCAGTCAATTTGTCTTATCATAGCTTAAAAACTGCACGTAAAAATGAAAAAATATCGCTCTTTGCTCTTTTCTAATTTTCTCTCTATTCTTTTCTTATAATGTTGCTAGCTTTTTCTCATCTAATTAATATTTTTTTAATATTATGAGACACCAAATATAATATATTATTATTTAAATAAAATTTTGGTTTATTTCCAATGGTCACAAAAGACAAACGGTAATATTTCATATATCATGATTAAGTTTCTGTTATACAGTTCAACTGATGATATTTTAGAATCTGTATCATGATTGTTATGTAATATTTTTATGATTATTTCAGTGCGTTCTACAAAAATTTACTAAAGCTTGATTAGAAATTAGAGAGAAAATAAGCGAAAGATGTTTGCGTTATTCAAGGAAAGCTGATCGAACCGATACGTCACTTGTAAAGCCCAAATAAAATATAAAAAAGGATATATTTTAATTACTTTATTTCAACAAAAAACAATAAAATTACAGCCAGTCCCTTTCAGCAGCTTCTATGCATAATAAAATCATCTTTTTGAGTGCAGTTGGATGTATATCTTCAACTGTCATCTCGCCCAATTTTCCTTGATCAGCTGCCTTTCCTTTCTCTCCAAAAATAACGTTGGGTAGCATAAATAAATTTCGTACAATAGCCAATTTTCCTGATGTTTTAAATTCTTCCAAAAGATTTTCGTATGAAAAATAGTCGTTATATAAATCCAGTTTTTTTAATATGCATATAAATTCTTCATAATAATATTTAATTAAGCTGTCGAGATTATTTTTGAGGCATTCATATTCGACACTGCTGAAGAGGAAAAAAATTATATCATCGGCAGGCGAACCGACTTGGCTCATTTGAAAATCAACAAATTTATTTTTAATTGCTACATCGTTTTCGATAACTTGCATTGTATTATTGATCCACATATCTTGATGTATAATTGTCGAAAACGTTCTCATAGACTGGTTACTAAACATCTTTTCTGGAGCTTCCTCCATTATTTTCGTAAAATCAGCTAACATTTTTATTAACTTATCAGCCACTGTTTTATATTTATCATTTGCACTTAATGTGTCTACCATTATTTTAAAAATCGATGGTGGTTCTTTATCTTTCGGCTTTGGTGGAAGAGACATGGACATATTTTTAACTAATCTCGTAAATTCTTCAGGTTCCGATAACCTTATGGCTAAGGGTACTGCATGGAACATTGCCAGATCTTTTAAAATCAGTTTAGATGTAGCCAAATCAAATCCCACATGCCTGTCCAGATTTTTGTACCCTAAAAATTAATAATGACGATTATTAATATTTTTTTTATTCAGTTTAATGCGTCGACAACTAATGGCCATTGGCATGGAACAGTGAATTTTTACAGTCAGGTGTGTAGTGTGAGTGTGTGTAGAGTAAGTGTCTTGATACTTAGCAAAGTCGACGTCATTATCTTTGCTAAGAGAAGCTAATTGTATCCGAACGTCTGCGGTCCCTCCGGTGAGTACCGATCGCACAAGGATAGAAATTATTTTCATTTAATAATTTTTAATAAACGAAAATTTCCACCCAGGTGAGATTCGAACTCACGACCTTTAGGTTCAAAGGTAGGCGCTCTTAACACTGAGCCACAGAGGGGGTTGATTATTAATATTGAAAGCAATAAATAATTTATACTTATTTAGTGAATCAGTATATTATTAAAAATGTATTAATAAAATAAATATAATATTAGCTTATAGTGCAATGATAAATGGGACAAAATGATGAGTATAAGAAAGACTATTTTAAAAAATTAGCTTTTAAAATAGTTATTAGTTATTCTGACTCAAAAAAAACAATGCTTGTTTTCACAAATGTATTTTTTGGCTACCATAGACATTTGAAAAAATGCAAAAAATCATGCTGAGATTTTTTGTTAAATTTCTGATGTAAAAAAGTTATTCGTTATACCCAAAAATCAATAAATTAATATTTTTTGTAATTGCCTCTTCATTTTTATTTTTGTCACCAACTACCAATTTTATTGGGTAAAAAAAATTACAATATAATTTTCATATAAAAATATTTGCAATTTTTTTTAATTACTTAGTTATCATAAATTTTTTATTCTATTTAAAATAACCGAAACAAGAGTTTTTAAGTAGTATTGACGAATCTCAAAGTATTTACCAAATATACCAAATATTCATAATACCTGCAGGACAGTATTTGCATTCTTAGGAGCACGTCGCCTGGTGCCATCCACTATTTTGATAGTCCTTTAAAACGACGCAAAAAATCCTTCGGATTATGCTTCAATATAGTCAAACACTGCTCTGCAGTGGTCTCACGGTTGCGTTTGTGACGTCGGGTAGTATATTTCAGCCAGAGAAACAGGATTCGTTCATATAGACATTTATTTCGAACTTACATATACAAATGAAAAAAAAGTAATTAACGCTAAGTGTTACTGAATATAATGTTTAAATACAAGAACGTACTGTTTATTTATTTCGGTAGATGGGTGTGACGATATTCGATATGATAAGCTAAGATATGATGATCGAGGAATTGAGGTCGTACTCATTCTTCAACGCAGAACGAGTACTGGGACGGGGATAAGGATGTCTATCTAGTTTAACACACTAGATGGAAAGAATACGCCAATCTCGTTCAACGCACCAGAGTGACGCAGTCAGAGGAAGGATTGTCAATCTCGCTCAGCGTGCCAGATCGACTGGGTTCGGAAAGGATTTGGGACACGTTCAACTCACCTGTCCCCAAGGTCCGATATTGTCAACTCAACGCGTCGAGAATGGTTAGCTGTCTTTCAGTTTAGACTTTTATACTATTCGAGACGGAACAAAAATGTGTTTTGTTTAACACATAGGCATACTCTAGACGATAAAATATATTATCGCCACACGTTTGATGTCTGGAGTGCTCAAACGCGGCACCCATCCAGAGGACCGCCTTCTCATGCCCAAAATACCATGCAAGATATCACATACACTGTCTTTTACGATGCCTACTGTCTCAGTTATCATCATCAGTCAGCGGTATGTCAATATGAGATTGGAGATTTTTAACACGTTATACTCCGTCATTGCCATTTTTGGGGCAGCAAGTCGGTGCCTATCAAAAATCGACGTGTAGCAACGTCAAAACTCGTTAACCCTTTCACTGCTACATTTTGATTTAAGACATGCCCAGAAGCAGCTATTTGTTTTGTAAAAACTAAAAATTTTTTATTGAAAAATTCTTTTTTGGATTAAGGGATGTAAAATTATTACTCAGATGTTAATTTTGAGATGTGTCATGGATCCGTGCCATGTGCACTGATCAAAAAATTTTCTATACAGTGCTCATCGGCACGGATCCATGACAAATATATTGTTATGAGTGGTTTAGGCCAAAATTGATGTAGGAGAAACTTTAAAGGATGCTAAGAAAATCTTTATTTTGTTAATAATCAGTAAAAAATATTTGAACTCCAAGATTAAAATAAAAAAGAAGAATAAAAATAATGCACTTTTCCCAATAAAATAGCAAAAACAGAAAAATAGTTGTGTTGCAATCAAGTACAAAATAAAGTAAACTAATAAAATAAAATGATACAGTGAAAAGATAATCATTTTTGTAATAAACATAAAACGAAAAAGAACAACCTAAAACAAAAATAGTAAGTTTTCTGTTTGTTTCACCTTTTTTATTCACAGATGTTATTTTTGCCAGTTTATGAGATTTTGGATTACTGGTCCGAGCAGCTTTAGTATTGGGTACTTCAATTTTTAATAGTTTTGATATGACAGCTAGTCGGAAATCATAAAAACTCATGATTTTACCTGAATATTTTTCAAAAGGAAAAAGGCATTGAGAACCATAAGTTGTATGAAATGGATACCTAATTTTTTGCACCAACTTAATATTTTTTTGTCACAGAGATAATATGCATTCATTTGGTCCTGGTGGTCTACTCCACCCATCTGCTTATTGTAATGAAAAATTAGTTAAGGTTTTGATTTGGTACAATGTCCTCTATCTGCAAACGCGACCATTTCGTTTTCATGTTTATTAGATAAATATAGAACATCTCTTTAGTCTCTCTATTTACCGACCAACAGGTTGTGAGAAAACTGCACACGTTTCACCCTTTTTAAGTTTTTAGAAATAAGTTTCGTTGGATTATTAATTTTTTTTTAATTTAGCGTTCTAGTGCAATAAGTCTTGCGACTAGTTAGCTGGTTGACTACGTTAAAAGAGTTAATAGAAATTGTCTAAGTATATAGAGTGGCCAGCTTCTAAATAGTTTTTCAAAAGTTCCAAAACCACCTCTGTAGTATGACCTTTTCCTCCAATATGATCCGAAGCCGCGGTATATACCAAAGTTTTCAGAGTTGTGCCACCCGGTTCTGTTAACATATATAATATAATTCCGTACATGTGGCGTTTGTTCGTAACATACTGTCTAAACACGCAACGACCTCGCCATAGCATCATGGATTCTTCGAGTGATAGATTATTCCCAGGGTAGTAGAGGGCAGACATCTTGTTGTTAAAAAAATCTATAATTAGCCTTATTTTATATAATCGATCCTGGGCTGCTTGTCCGGGTATGTTTCTATTAAAATATAAACATCTCATTATCAGCAAAAGTCGATCAGGACTCATATGCTGTGTAAAACAATTCAAATTAAATCATGGGTGGCTTTTCTAATAATCTTGGAGGCGAATCAACCGTATTGTACCTGTATATAACACTAGTCCAAGAAATTTCAATATTTCTTGAATAGTTACATTCTTCCATCTACTAATTCGAGATTTTTCCAACGTAGCGTTACAACGAGCATTCCCAGGTATACAAATTCGTTAACTGCTTCGATGACGTCGTTTTCTATAACAAGTGGCCGTAGTATTTATAGTTGCGGACCTGTTTTCGTGTATTTCGTTTTATTATATATATATATATATATATATATATATATATATATATATATATAATATATATATAATATATATATATATATATATATATATATATAAGCGAGGTTCCTACAGCCTCTGCCGTTTCTCGAATTTCGACCGCCATCGTTTTCTGTCCATCCATTCGTCTTCTCTGATGGCTCTATCTCTCATTATGTGCCGTACATTTTCTTTCCAGGCAACTGAAGGCCTTCCCCTTCCCTTCTTCTTCTTTGTTGTGGTATGTAATTTAAAGCTTTCTTTGGCCATCTATCTTCATTCATTCGTTTCACGTGACCATACCACACTAGTTGTCTCGTTTCAATTCTATCTACACTGGAATATACAGTATTTGTCCTCCTTCTAATATCTTCATTCCTGATGTGATCTTTTTTGGATATACCACACGCTCTCCTTAGAAAATCCATTTCTACTACTTCTATTCTTTTTCTATCCTTCTGCGTTATCTGCCAAACCTCTGCCCCATAAGTCATAATAGGCTCTACCAAGGTTCGATAGATTGTCAATTTCGTTTCTTGTCTAATATCTTTAGACCAAAGTAGAGAGTTTAGAATGTTTACCACTTTTTTCCCTGCTGTGTTCTGTTTTCGATGTCTCTTTTGGTAGTGCCTTCTTTAGATATTATAGATCCGAGATATTTATATTCATTGCATGTTTTTGTGTTTCTAATTTCTAACTCTGGATCTTCTTCACCATCTCCTATTTTAAGATACTCTGTCTTTGCCATATTCATATTGAGGCCCCATTTTTCATATTCTTTCTTTAGTTTTCTAAACATGTAGTCCATGTCTTCCTCGTCATTCGCTACGACTACCTGATCATCTGCGAAAAATAAAGCTGTTAGACATTCACCACCGCCTATGTCTATTCCCATTCCGGATACTTGTTTTCTCCACTGCTCTAGCGATGATTGAATATATATTTTAAACAGGGTCGGAGACAGACAACATCCTTGTTTAAGCCCCTTGGTTATTGGAAATGATTCAGATATAAAGTTTCCTTCTTTAACGACACTTCTTGCATTTTTGTATATATTTGCGATAGCATCCACATACTCTCTACTGAGACCTACTTTCGTCAATGTATAAAATAGTTTTTTCAAAGGTACCGTATCATATGCCTTCTCTAAATCTACAAACAATAGGTGGGTAGATAGATTCCTTGCCTTCCGTTTTTTCGATTACCTGCTGCAGAACGAATATATTATCAATGCACGATCTTCCTGCCCGAAATCCATTTTGTTCCTCTATGTCATCATATTCTGATTCAATTCGTTTTTTTATTATTCGACCGTACAACCTCCCAACTGAGCTAGTAACAGTTATTCCTCTATAATTAGAGCAATTGCGTTTATCCCCTTTTTTGTATATTGAGCTGATGTATCCAACATTCCAATCATCAGGGATATTTTGTCCTTTTAAGCATTTATTAAATAGTTTAACCATCATCTCGTGTAATATTTTTGGTCCATACTTTACCAACTCAATTGGGATGTCTCCAGGTCCTGCTGCTTTACCGTTTTTTCGATCTTTTGAGGGCATCGCTTAACTCTCCGGTTGTTATCTCAATTATTTGTGTATGTTCAGATATTTCTTCCATTTCGATATCTTGGAATTTACGTCTATCCTCTGTCAATAAGACCTCATAATGCTGTTTCCACTGTTTCAGATCTATTAATTTTAAGTTAGATTTTTCCTTTCCTTCCTTCCGGAGAGACTTTATCACCTTCCACGCTTGCCCAACTCTTGTTCCACCCATATACCTATCCACATTTCGTTTTATTAACGTTTATTAATAAACCCATTTTTGTAGCCGCTTTCTTTAGTGCTACACACGCCTCTCGCTTTGCGTTTTCCGTTTTGCCAACAATATTGATATCATCAGCATATGGTAGGATTTGCACAGATTTGTTATATATTGAACCGGTAGTTGTGATTTGTGACGTACGTATTACTTTTTCCAGAGCTAGATTGAATAGTTCACGAGGAGAGTGGGTCTTCCTGACGTAGCCCGTTATTTGTATTAAAAGGTTCAGAAAGTTCCCTCTGAATTCGTACTCTGCATTCAACTTTTTCCAGTGTTAGTTTGGTTAGACTTACCAACTGATTTGGTACTCCTAGATCTATCATTGCTCTTAACAGTTATCTTCTATTTACAGAGTCGTAGGCTGCCTTGTAGTCTATAAATATGTGGTGCGTGTCTACACCGTATTTCAGTGTTTTCTCTAGAATTTGTCTCAGGTTGAAACTGATGAATTGTTGATTTACCACCTCTGAAACCAGCCTAGTATTGTCCTATTATTCGCTCTGCATACGGTGCCATACGATGGCATAGTATATTAGAGAATATTTTATACGTTGCATTTAGGAGCGTAATTCCTCGATACTTAGAGCATTCAAAGATATCTCCCTTTTTGTGTATGGTGCAAAGTATTCCAATATTTCAATCACTTGAAAGGGACTTCTGTATCCATATTTCTTTTATAAGCTTCTGTAGCGCTACTATAATATTGTGGCCACATTCTTTATATAATTCCGCTGGGAGATTATCTATTTCGGGTGATTTGTTTCTGGATAGTTTGTTTACAGCGTCTTTAACTTCCAGGATCGTTGGTAGATTCTCCTCCCTCTCGTCTGCTCCGCTTACCTCACAGCTTTCGTCTTCCGGGTTTTCTTCTTCTTCCTCTATATTAAGTAGCTGGTAAAAATATTCCGTCCATCGATTTAGTACGTCTGTTCTTGTTGTTAATAGATCGCCATTTAAACTTCTACATTGATTTGTGTTTGCCTTAAATTCTTTTCTTTTGATGTTAACTTTCTTATAGAATGTTCTGAATTCTTTCTCTCTGTTGAAGTTTTCTATATATTGAAGTTCCTTTTTTAAGTGGTTTCGTTTCTTCCGTTTCTCATTCTGTGTATTTTATTTTCTTCTCTTGTCTTTATCTGGTAATTTTTTCTGTGTTGCGTCTTTGCATTCATCGTCAAACCAGTAATTTAAAATACTTCTTTCACACGCTGTTAAAACATAACTACGGATCCGATTCTGTTAAAATTTTGACATTAACCGTCTATTAATATGTGTTATGCGATAAAAAAAACGTATAATACGTATATATACGATGCGTATAATACGTATATATATATATATATATATATATATATATATAATATATATATATATATATATATATATATATATATATTATATGATGTATTATAGTAGATTTTCTTAAGATAATGGCTCCAACGGGCTCTGAGGTTAAGTACTTATCGGACCGCTTACGTATTGTAAATGACAAGTATTTTTCAACTGTTTTGTTAGTTAACATAATTTGACACTGCATTTAAAACCAACAATAATCTAAAGAAAAAATTACATTTTTGACAAACCTCGTATACGACGAATAAAACGTAATATCGGATGAAGATATTTCAGTTTTTGAATCATGAAGAATAATTTTTTTCATAAAAGAAATTGATGAAAATCAGGATGTAGTTACCATATTTAAAATATTTTTTTATTTAGATACCATTGAATAAAACTTATGTAGAAGAATTGATCAAAAATAAATAATAGTTTCTGGATCTTACCTTTCGTTACTAAATTTTCCAGAATTAAAACAGCGTCTTCATCAGCCTTATCTTCTACTCCTGTCAAATTAATTCGACCTCCTGCAAAATCTGGATAAAACGAGGGGTAAGGTAAACCATGTTTTTTATGAAAGCTTTTTATAGTAGGAATTATATCTCTATAAAAAATGACTTCGTTTTTAGTCATGTTATACGTAGGACCCATAAAATCATGAGTTATAGACAATTTAGCTACCAGAGACAAATCTTCATTTTTATTACTAACTTTGTCTTTTAAAATTATATCAATTTTAATGATATCACTTAAATAGTTTTCTCCAGGTGCAGTTAAGTTACGTACTTTGGTATCCACCACAATTTTATTAGGACCGATGTAGTCGCTGATAAGTTCTTCAAAATTTTTAATCTTCTCCATTAGTATGAAAGTAATCTATTTAAGTATGTACTTTATAATACTGCGATGAAAATCAGTTTTTCCTTATATATGATATAAATATCACAGATATAGATATACACAACTTGAGAATTCAATAAATAGCAAACAAAGAAACAATAAATTGAGCAAACAACTTTAAATACCTTAATATGATAAAACTCATAATCTACAATTTTAGCTGATGTTCATATTTCAATTATTAATAACAAGATAATATTCCGCAACTAATGATGATTTGTATAAAACTAACTGCACACTTCTATAAAATTGTATCACAGCAGTAAATTAAAATACCTATTACTATTCTCACATTTTCATATAAAGCAAATTGTCCAGTTATGTATGAGTTATTTCTTGTTCCAATTCTCTACGATTTACTCTTTTTTAGTAGTTCCAATTATTGGCGGTTTGTTCCGTATCAGGCTTAACCTTTAAATATTCCTCCCTTCTTCTTCTTTAGCCTGCTTGAATTCACTACTAGTCAAAGGCATACGAGTGTACTACTCTTCTCTGTTGTATCCTATTCTATGCCTTTGATTTATGGACTTTTCTAGTGTATGCGTTATAATATTTTCTACTAGATGGCACAAAAACGTAATTTTGTTAAAAAAGTGGACTTACTCACTTTGCCGATTAAGCCGACGATGTGCTAAAGTGATTTTTCTGTGCAGTTCAGAAGTTTGGTTGTTCCGACAAATTTGGATTTTATGACCCTAGTATTTATATTTATAAACTAATCCTATATCGTTGCAGTCAACTTTTGGATTTTCGCTTAGTACCTGATTTGTTATGTATTGTGTCATTTTAAAATTTATGTTCAAACCAACTTCATTACAGGCGGTAACTCAGTAAGCATAGTTACAATCTTTTTTAAGTTAATTGTTATCAGAACAATGTCGTCCGCAAATCAAGCAATCGAGCAAATTGGGAGAGTATTTTGTCGTCAATGTTAAATTTTTTGGCTTTCAACTCCAATTTCTAAAAGTATGCTCCAGAACTGCCGTAAAGAGTTTGAGAGATAACGTGTCTCCTTGCCTGATTCCTTTTTTGGTTCTTAATCATTTTGTATCCGTGTGTAGTCTTACGGTCACAGTTGCATTACTGTAAATATTCGGATCAGTTTGGAGTTTTGGCTTTTATAATAACAATAAACAAATTACAAAGCAAACCGTTGGAAATTTGCAAAATTAATTTTAAGTTTTTATGTGTCGGAAAACCGTAATAGTTATTATATTTATGCAACGTATCATAAATTTTATTTAACTTTTTTCATCTATATGTTTCTATTTGGTTCATCTTCCGTTCATTTTTTAGACACCTAATTTAATTCTAAGATGGTGCGAAGTTTGCTTAATCTGTTGTTATTATATAAAAATTAAAGAATATAAAAGCAGAATCTTTAATAATGGCAAAGAATATAGACGCTTAAGCGTCTATATGCTTTAATAATTTTTCGACTGTTCTAACAACCATTCAAATTTCGTCATTTTGTGTCATGTGGAACAATTTCACCCAATCATGTCAACATTAGACTGATAATTGCATTCAGTGCAATTTTCAATCCCTATGACAACACGATCGAGTCTGACAACTTCATCCAAATAAATTTCAAAATGTCACGTTTCTAATCTAAATCTAATGTTAACTTAAATTTTAATAATTGTACTTTTAATAAATAAATGTTTCGGTTTTTTGAGTTATGATTTTTTTTTTTTTTCGAAAAATTATACGCCGAATATCGCTCGGACATTGATGAATGCCTCATAATTTAATGACAAATTTCTCAAGCTTGTTGCTTGGTAACAGCACTCAGCCTTCGGCTTCGTGCTGTTACAAAGGAACGAGCTTTCGATTGTCATGAAATTATCTCGTCTGTTATCAATGTCCTAGGGATATTACTACTGATAATAGCGCCATATACCTCCAAATTTTATTAGGACTTCCTTTCATGTTCCAATACATTGTTTCTGCTATTTTGTCCTAATTAGACCTTACCAGTTAACACCCACCACTTAATATTTTGTGGTCCTTTCCGATATTTTGATTTTGTTTTAGTTTGTTTTCCAACATTTTGGCTTATTTGTTTTATTTTGTTTTGTTTGAAAACTAAAATACATGTTCATTTACTTAATAAAACATGAAATTATAATGTATGTCAAGGATATCTCAAAAATAAGTTTTATTAGTTTCTCAAATAACTTATTTCCAAAATATCTTCGAGGTCAAAACTTTTTTAGGTGTGTGTATAAAAAACTGGATTGAAAAGAATTTAACAGTTTTTTTTATTCTCTGGACAGGTGTACGTTTATGTAATTTTAAAACTATTTTGACGATACAATATGTCACAGGTTCCTTCCTTTTTATCCATACAACCATACATGCATCTCCATCTATGTTTCAGATGAAAACTATTACTTTTCACAATCGTTTTACCATTTAATGATATTATTTTATTTTGTAGTTGTAATATTTTAACCCTGCATCGGGACGGACTTCGGGGAAACATAGGCAGACGGTGGTGGATTATGTGATGTCAAGGAGCAGCTCCGTCGACTGATGTCTACTCTGCTATTATTAAAGCGAACTCTACTACTTTTTTTCTCTGCAGTAAAATGCTGAGGCGATCATCACGGAACTAGCGCCACAACATTCCGCCGTCACGGCTAGCGTCATAAAATAGTGATTTTTGACAGTGATTCACTACTCTTGGTCAATTCGTTTTTAGTCATCCTATATTTACTCTAAGCAGGTCTAAATTAAAAACTGTTTGTAACTTTTGTATTTTTCGATATATTAGACAATTTAACAAAGAGATTGAGCCTAAAATAGCACCTGATAGCAGTGAAATTTCTGTGGTCTATCTCTGCGGCATTATTATTTTTAGTATATCATATGTGTAAAATTTGTTAACTGCTTCGATGAGGTCGTCTGATTTGTGGTTGTGTGCTTATTTTTACGTTCTTTGTTTTGGTATTTATTATATCATCCATTTTGTAGCTGATTCTTTTAGTGGTACATACGTCTCTCGTACAGCTTTTCCATTTCCTCAACAGTATTGATATCATCAGCATAGACACAGGATTTGCACTTATTTCACACAGGATTTCTTATATTTTGAACCGATGATTGCGATTTAAGATATACGTATTACTTTTTCCAGAGCCATATTAAACAGTATACAGTAAAGCGGTCGCCCTGGCGCAGCCAATTCCTTGTTTTAGATAAAATTGTTGTTTTAAATAGTTCAGGCAGTTCCTCCTGGATTCGTACTCTATATTCAACTTTTATAAGAGTTTGTTTTGTTATATTTTCCGTGTTGGTATTCGAGCTCTTTCATTGCTCTGTTACATTTCTCTTTTATTTAAAGAGTCGCAGACTGCCTTCTTGTCTATAAATATGTGATTAGTGTCTATACCAAATTCCAATGTTTTTATTAAAATCTGTCTTAGGATTGCAATTTGGTGAATGGTCTCTTTACAACTTTTGAAACCAGTTTGGTATTATTCTTTTATTTGGAGATATTATAGTGGACAATATTTTATACGCTGCATTTAGAAACGTAATTCCTCTGTAATTAGAGCATTCATCGATATATCCTTTTTTGTCTATGGTGCAAAGTATTTCAATATTTTTACCACTAGGAGGAATTTTTATATCCATACCTCTTTTATTTACGAGCTGCTGTAGTGCCATTGGGGTATTGTGGCCACCTTCTTTATACAGTTCAGCTGAGAGACTATCTATTCTGGAAGATTTGTTTCTCGCTAGTTTTCATCAATATTTTCTTTGCCTAATTCTGCCTTGACCACTTCAGGACTATTTCGAGCTGCGGTCAATAAAGTTAGAATTGCCATGCTAGTAGCCAACATCCGTAACGAATAGGCAGGCACCACAAGAAGAATTTTGCCTAATAAGCAGTAATAAAATAGGCATGAGTGCAATAAGAGGAATAAAAGAATCTACTTTACTAGAAAAAAAAATCCTCAACACATATATGAAGTCGCCATTATGCTTTGCGACCATCTTACAGAAGGATCGGAAATTTTTAGCCTAGATCTTTGCATTCTGTCAAATGTTTTTAGGTTTGTCCTCTCACATCTACTTCCTAACATAAATTTATTGCATTTTAAATATAGAACATTTGTCAGGCGACAAAAGTTTGTGTTCGGAGACGCAGTAGTAAGATCAATAAATGTGACTACCTACGTAAATAATTTATTCTGTTTATTATATGAACATATATGTTCATTATATGAACAATTTTGCTTGTTTGTTGACAGGTTGTTGCCTCTATGGATTGTCACTCCATCTCTTGGTTAGTTGGCTAATTCTACCTCTTGGTGATATGTCCCTTCTATTTTAGCAAGTTTTTTTTGTCCACCATTCTACTAATATGATTGTCCCATTCTTCTTTTTTTTATTTAGTTTCTACTCGTTTATATCTTGTACCTTATATTTTTTTCTGATCTGGTCATTCCTTATTCGGTCTCTTAGCATATTTCCTGTAATTCTTCTGAGTATCCTTATTTCTGCTCTTTCCATCACTCTCTGTGTTTTGACTGTGTTGAGTCTTGTTTCTGATACTGTAAATTAAAAATTTACTGTACTTATTTGTTAAGGAGCAGTCTTTACCAATGTGGCAGACAACGCTTGATTTCTTAAGATTCAAGGCCATACCCGAGATACGGTTAAATAATCTAATAAACATATGTATTTAAAATTAAAAATAAAACTGCATACATTTTTATAGTTAGTTGTATTCCACGTCTATTTAATGATTTACTAATTAAGTATTTACACAATTAAAATTTATTTTCGAAATTAGGTTAATTATCTTTTAACCACGTTAAATTATGTCCCATGCCACCATGTAAATGCTTTAGTAGGACATATTTTTCCCCACACAAACCATTATTATCATCGGCATCTATTGAATAAATAATAGCACCACCAAACTGATTTTTCTTTATGTAGTCTCC